CATTTCCTTCCCTCGAGGGTGAAAGACTTGAGGAAGCCAATGTACCAACTATGATTCCTAAAGAAGATAACGAATCAAAGTACTTAAACTTAGGTTCCATGAACTGATGAAATGCTGAGTGCTGAATTCTTGAAATAGTAGATTCAGTTTAAGATAAAGTTCTCACTAGATTAAGAGTTTACCTTTGATATTGCTTTACTTGAATCATGAATGGTGCAATTTGGGGTCTAAAGATGCTATATCACCTTCTATTATGAAGAAGTCATGTTATGCTTACGAAGAGAGGGAGTAATGAAAAATCTTTTTTTGTAGAATAACTCTGGAGATCAGCTTACCTTTTCTTTTCCGTATGAAACCATTATCTTTCAAAGAGATCCGGTTCCTTAGCATCAAGGCCAATGCTAAGTTCTGCTACCTGCAGTAGTATGAAAGTTTGAACAGAGAAGTGTATGTAGGATGTTATAGTATGATTCAGCAGTGATTGAAGCCTAGAATGCAATAATTTTTCTGAAGAGCTGAAGTTTGATATACATGTGTGTCCTGGACATAAACAATTAACCAATTGTTTCTGTTTATGCAAAACCATGTTAAATACATTTTAGTTTGGGTTTTTGTTTTGATTTTTGTTGATTTTTGTTTGTTGGTTTGGTTTGGTTTTTGTGGGTTTTTTTTTGTTGTTGGCTTCTTTTTTGCAGCTAGCCTGCTTTCATTTTGTGTACAATCAGGGAAATACAGAGGACCTATTTTATTTTACAGGATATTTCATACATTGTGTTCTTGGACAAATTATAGATTAAATATTCCACAGCTCATTTCATATCTTTCAGTAATAACTTCCCCTTAGCCAGTTTAATCAGTTGTTTTATGAGCAACCATAAATATTAACTACAGAATGTTACTTCTAGGAATCTTTCAATGAACTATACAGATGCTGACAAAGTGAATTTTGCTTACACAACATGAAAAATATTTATTTCTAATCTTATTGGTGAAGCTGGAAGAAAAACCATGGGTCTTGACCTGTACTAAATATATTGTGGACATAAATATTTTTGCATGTAATAAGCAATCTTGGCCTTGTTTTCTGGGTTTTTTTGGTTGTTTTTTTTTTTTTTTTTCCAGCCTGTTAGCAAAGGCAAAAGCAAGGGAATGGCAAATTATCAAGTTTAAAATGATAATTAACCTTATCATCACTGTATTTTGTAGGGAAATTATATAAGGCTGTATTCATGAAAGTAACATTAGTTTTTAATGTGCAATCATCTGTTCTTGGCAAGTGCAATTTAACCACATTTAGCTTTAAATACGTGCATATATATTTGTTTAGCTGAAAGAGGACCTTAATGTTCTTGTCTGTTTATCTGTTGATTAGCTACATAGAGAAATGAAATCAAGTCCTTCTCGGAGGTCTACAACAAAAGGACAAGAGACAAGGGCCACAATTGCAGCAAGGGGCATTCTCACCAGTTGTAAGGGGGAAAAAAAAGTGCAGAATTAGAATGGCTAAGTCATTAGTGAGAGAGACTCTGAAACCTCCATCCTTAATTAAAACTGCCCTAGCAAAAACCCAAACACCTCCATCTGCCTTTCCTGTTGCATGTGTTTTGGCCAGCAGCTGAAGTAGATGACTGTCAGTGGTCCCTTCCAATCTGAATTATTCTGTTTGTGTGCATCAAATGGAATTTCAGCAATGGAACTTTTAAGGCATGAGACATAATAGCTATACACTTTCAAGGTTAGAATTCAACATTACCAGTTACTGTTTACAGTATGTTTTATGGTGGTTTTAATTTGTCTAATAGCATGGAAGTGGATTTTCTAGAATCCTCTTATTGTGTAGATGTGGTTGTGATATTTGTCATATAGCTGCTTCTAAAACACCCAGTCATGCATTTGAAAACTGTTGTATTAATGGTTGAACACACGTAGAATGGTAAGTTTGCATTTGAGTTTTGTGACTGGATTGCAAATTCTCTAAAGGAGGAACAGCGAGTAGTTTCAGGCATATGCATTTGGTGAAACTATCAGTGGTGTGGGTGGCAGTCCGAAAGCAAACTTCTGAAGATGGGGTCATGTTTAACATGCTATGGTAAAGGGAATGCTTTGCAAATGTATGTGGACAGTAGTTCCCAAGTGAGAAGAGGAGCCTGATTAAAGTACGTAAGCAATTGTTTGCTCACTTGTTAAATTTTCAGTTAAATCTGACAATATTAATTCTTAAAAGACAGCGTCAACATTTTCACTGAAAATCAGAAAGAACTGTGTCAGAAATAAAGGATAAAAGACACCTGAAATGAAGGCAAAAGTTAATGTGATAGAAAACTGAAAGCAAAGAGAGGGGTTACCTAAAAATTTTCATATCATGCCTGTAATTTAATGACTTGGTGTAGGAAGAATCGGTAAGAATCTTTTTAATTTATTTCATAAATAGAACTTAAATTGATTTGAACTTGACCCATATCTTTTACCAACATGGAGCAGAATAATCTAGCCTGCTACTCTGTAGCCACTTAGCTCTGATTTTACTGCTATTCTAGGTATCTTTTTTTATGACTACCTTTGTGAAATGTAAAAAATTAGTATAAAAGCAGAAATTTGGACTAGGGAAAAAAGAAGAAGTAAAAACTTAAAATATTGTTCTCTTAAAACCATGATGCATAGCATAATGCCATTTAGAGTTTTAGTAATTAGTGATGTGTATCTTAAGGCAAAGAAGAGATACCTAGTGAGCATATTTCTTGTGTTATTTGTTGGTTTATATGTTTGCTTTAAGGGATAAATTAGTGGCGTTCTCAGAACAATAACTTTGATGTTTCAAGAACTAGGGCAACTGTAGTGACAGAAGTGTGGTTTTGCCATATAAAGGGAAGTTTGTTGTCAGCAAGCAAATGATAATAGCATCCTGTACACCCAGAAGGCCTACTGTGATGTCTGCGTCTGCATAAGATCTCTTTCACCCTCAGAACGGTCTATTTTTAAACTGGTGCTGAGTTTGACCTTAGTAAAGAGATAATGTTGGAAGATTTTTAAATGCACAGTGTGTTCCTCAGTCCTACAGGACACTGACAGTAGTATTTTTTTCACAGCAAATTTGTTTTAGTTTGGACTTTGTTTGAGTTCAAAGTGTTTAAAGTTAAAGGGGAAAACCTGTTTACGCTTATGATGAGATGATTTCACATTTCTGATTAAAATAGGAATAACTTCCACAGAATTAGTTGTTAACTACATTTTCCTCACTGTGAGCTATGATTTCTGTATAAAACTTGTGAAGAATATAGATTATTCCAGGTCAGTGTAACCACTACTTCATAGGAACAGCATGCCTATCTTTGATAATTGAAGGAGGCTGCTGGTATAGTTGACATATTTAAAATACCTTGCAATGCCAGGAAATTGTAAGAACAATAATCTTTCATGGACCTCTTGTGAACTTCATGTTTTATCCCATGATATCTAGACATATGTTTTAAAACTGGCAGTGATGGGAAGGTGCAATGTTGGGGACTAGGAGAAATTTATGATGTTGTGAAAATGTGTTAACTAACATTAAGTTAAACCTGATTCAGTAGCAAAACAAAGGACCCTCGAATATCTGAACCCATATATAGCAGAAAAGAAGGGCATCTTAATGTCTGAAACTTTTTCTAGATGCTTCTTAGTTTTGATACTTGAAACAGCTGAGCATGTTCATATAGAATATTTTCTTCTCTTTGTTTCTATTTTTGTCTCTCCTTTTTGAGGAATTATCTCAGTGCCTATCTTTGAGAGAGTTTTGAGTAGCCGGCCTTCAAATTTTATTCTTCTGGTCAGTTCTTATTTGTAATCCTGTGGCCATTTGTGGTGTTGAAGAGACTACAGAGTTTGTGAATGTGAAGTGGGTTGGCGTTTATGTAAGTATTTACAATGTGTAATAATCGATTTTGTGTTGTGTTACCTTTGGAACTCTTGTCTCCCACTCTTCTAAGGTCTGCTGCTGTTTTTTCAACTGTTTAATTCTAGTTTTTCTCCTTTTCTAGCTTTTCTCCTTCAAAACACGTAACAGATTTCTTTGTGCATAATTTTTATTATGTATTTTTTAATCAGCTTTTACCTGTGTTTAGTGAAACAGGTATAACATAATATAGCTCTCTAGTACATATGTGAATGAATTGTTACATTCAAAAATACTTAGAGCTTGCAAAGACTATTACAGTTGTGTTTGGGATGTCAGCAGCAGAACTCTGTGCAAGGCAGCTCAGCAGGGCTTTCCAGTTCACAAGACTTGCTAATGCAGCAGCAGTTAACCGCCAAGGGAAATTTAAATTTGAAGGGACTCTTCATGTCCTGATTTGTAAAAGCACTCCTGGGCTATTCTAGAAATTTCTGCTAGCAACTATATTTAGCTCTTCTGTGTGGCTTGTTTCAATTTGTGTGTGCATCTGTATGTACTATTTGCTAAAGTTCATAAGGTATTACATCGCAGCAACATGTACGTTGTCTAGATGGTAGCAGCAGGGCTAGCAAACTTGTGTCAGCTCCTGGTATTTAGAGAACATGAACAGAACATTTGGTCTTATTAACACAAAGCATGACTTCAGACATTATTAGAAATAATCAATTTTGGTATCTCTAAGTTACCAGTTATACTCCTGCTTTATGATGTGTTAATAGCAATACTGAGTAAAGGTTTTGCTGTTTTACTATTTTTTTCTTCGTCTCATACTTACAGTTGACAAAGTGAACAAATAAAACACATCAATACTGCTTTTGTCATGAGCTTCATTTATGTTGAAGACAAAAGGTGTACAGTATTTAATATCATCTCATGAAGAACCCTTTTGAACACAACAGGTTTATGTTTGCTGTATTCATATATTCCTGATTGGTCTCCCATGTGTTTTCTAAGAATAAACTGATTTTGGACATTGCTATTGAAGTTCAATCCAAATATAAAAGGTGAGCAAACATAGACTCATGAATAACTGATATTCAAAATTAACTTAGGAAGAAAATTAGCCACTCTCAGACTTTATGAACTGTAATAGCAGAAATATCAAGGGATGTGAATTGGTGAGGTTATAATTTTTAAAAAAAGTACCTATTGTATGCAAACTGGCAAATGAGAAGCTTGCATAATAATAATAGCAATAACAATACATTATTATTCTAATTACACATATGCAACATTTGTAGACCAGTTTCACATTACATAAATTTGGGAAGTATTAAGTATGCACACAGAGGCTGTATTTTGAAACAGTTGGCATGCAGTAGCAGAATGACTGCAACATATTACTCACACACTGCAAAAGTTCTTAAACATGTATGCTGTTTATGAAAGTCGGTAATTTTCTCCTTTCCCTGGGTGACTTGGAACAGTAGCAATGGTTGGTGCTGCTGAGAACCCAGACTGTTAAAGGATTTGGAATCCTTGTTGTTGTAATTCCTTAAAGTGTATGAGGTTCATATTGCCTGTGAGAAGAGAGACAATAATCCCAGTTTTCCTCTTACAAGCCCAGAATATTACTCTCAGCTTCTTTTCTGTAGAAACCAAATCCAATATATATTTTAAAATACTTCAGAAAAACAGAAGACTTAAGAAATAGCAAGAGGGAAAATTTTAAATGTATTTATTTTACAGTTTATTAAAATATTTTAAAATTGTATTTACATTCTTTTAATATGTTGATTTATAAATGGGATTATGGTCTGTATTGTATATAAAATTTTTAGATCCTAGAATGACACAATGTTATATTAGAGTGTGCATGTAGCAGCTGAAGGTCCTCTTCCTGGAATGGTAAGCTTCCAGTTAGATATGGGGATAATTCAGCATCTTAGTAATGTAGAGGAAATAAATGTAGGATGTTTTTTTTTTCAATTTAGGGCCCATTTAAAAAAAAATGAAATCATTGACTTGTGTATTCCTGGCCATGACAGGGGGTTTGGACTACATGATCTTTAAAGGTCCCTTCCAATCCAACCTCTTCTGTGACTTACGGGCAAGTAAGATTTCTTTTTGAAGTTGGTTTTTTGCTCTCTTTGGGTTATTTTATTCAGGAGGAGACTAATACACTGAAGGGAATTTGTACCACTGCTACCAATGTGATTAAGTTTTATGTAGAGGGATGCTAAAGAAACACATGTTTAGGTTTGTCTCCAGTTAATGGGTTTTGGTGCTTAGATTGTATCTGTATCCACAGTCTTAGCCAAGCCAAAGATAATGTGCTACTGGACAATGAATTGCTTTGCAATCCCTGCTCCATTGGAGTGTATAAATTTTGGGATGTCAATGTTGCCCATTTCAACCAATCTTAATAAACATATGCAGAGACATCAGAGAGCAAACAAGGAAGCTGAGAACAGGCCTGTGGTGGAGAAAAAAGTTATATGATTGACACTTTTTGAGACTGTTCTTTTTTTTTTTTGTTGATCCTAGCTTCCTTTTGGTGATCTATTCAGTAGAGATTCTAGAGAAGGGATTGTGACATCTTTGTTTTATTTCTTCTTTGGTTTTGTTTTGTTTTATCGTTGCAGACTTCCTTAAACAAACAGATTATATTAATATTTCCTTCTTCAGTGCTGGCAACAGACTAGTTCATCTGTTAACGTCTGGCCAGTGAGCAAGTCTATTTTCTTCATTTATAATATCTTCTGAATTTTTTTTTTATTTATTTCAGAAGTCTCTAGTGAAGGCTTAGAAATGAAGCCTTTAGGTTATTATTTTTTTCTTGTTTATATTTTGTCATGCTGAAGGATGCTGATTTTAGACAAGGGCATCATTATTCAAGAAAGCCCACATAGATTTCTTTTGTCACCTCAAGGGGGGCTTCTGCATTAAACTTCCTCCAATTATCTCTGTTGTTTTAATAGTTAGATATTATAAATCAAACCTACCCACCAGAATTTCTCTCTAGTCAATGGTGAAAAATGAGCACTTCCAGAAATTATCCTTAGACATTTTATTTTAAATGATAGCCCAAAGAAATACCATGTAATTTAATTGAAATAAAAACATATTTCTATATCAGTTTTTCACTGCTGTCGCTAAATGAAAATGAAATTATTTGAATATGTTGCATCATACAATGTTAAGGGTTATTTACATGCAATTTACTAATGCTTAGAAAAAATATTTTCCATGTTATATGGAAAATGGGTGACAATATGAGTGGAAATATGGGTGACATCTCATACTCTTCACTGCCGATATCTTGGAGACCCTTTTTGTAAGACTGTAATAGCTGACTGGAGGAGCCCCTGGTGGTCTAGTGGTAAAGGCGCGGCGCTATCACCGCCAAGACCCGGGTTCGATTCCCCGTCAGGGCCACTCCCGGGCAGGTGGAGCTCGTTAACCCTTAAAAAGGCAACCCATCTACGTCCTAAGGACCTCGCTGCCACCGTCCAAGCTCGCTTGGCCCTGGCAGATGAACCTTAGGATTAAAGGGTGGGCTCAGTTCCACGCACACTGTGTCTCACCTAAAAAATCCAATGCGCAGGCTGGAAGGTGGAAAGACCTTCCCCGGATCTTCGCTCGCAAAGGCTGGCCATTATTATAATAGCTGACCAGCAAGGGTCCTTGTGATGGTTTTGATCTAGGCCTTCCTGGTGACCAGTTTGTAACCAAGGAAGTGGCCAAGTACCCAGTATTCCATACGATTTTTACATAAACCAAGGTATAAATAAGTTAGAGATTAGAGACCTCTCTCTCTTCTCCTCCGGTGAGGTTCAGGAACAGTGGGTCCCTGCGTTGGTCTCGCTTATCTAAAGCTGAGGCCTGCAGTAACCACTGGCCTGCCACGTGGGAGTTCGGAGAATGCTATGTCTGCCAATCCTACTTTTCTGAGGGAAGTGGTGAGATCTGTTTTGTTAGTTATTAGTATAGTTCTTGAGTTTGATCGGGTATACCTGTTTGGTATACCTTTTGTCCCCTTTTTTCCCCTTTCCCTATCCCTTCGGGGGGGGTGGATTCCCTTTTGCTGTGTACATAACATCTTAGCTGTATATAACTGTAATATACGTAAATATATATATATATATTTATATAAACAGCTTCACTTTGGGTTCTTTAATTTTTATAGGGTTTTTTTCTTTGCCCTAAGGGAAGGGGGGGCTGCTACTGGATGTTTGGGCATTTGGCAGGGAGCCAAAGTCCAAACTATCACAGTCCTCAATGTTAGGGTCAAATTTTCATCTGTTAATGAGTTATAGGTAACTAAATAATACGGGGGGGGCTTCCTTAATGTTCTTGTATTTACATTATTTTCCGTTTTCCCTTCCTTCCTCTCTGTTTGTTAAATAACATAGAAGAAAAAGGTCATAATTTAATGAATGACCCCCTGGATCACAGATGCTGACAAAATGAAGCCTGAAAATTTTAAATTGGCTGGCTGCTGTTATCCTAACAGAGCCCATTAAACTCTCACAAGAGAGTGTAACTTATTATGTAGTGAAACTGTGACTTTTTCATGCTTTGTTTGTAAACATGACAAAATTTATGGATGGCATTAGTGATACTAAGTTGACAGAATTAAAACCACTGTTTATGGATACAGTTCAGTAACTTGATTTAATTAAATTCTCACCACATTGCTCTAAGAGGATTTTCAGGCAGTATTTTATGATGAGGGTTTGAGAGAGAATGCTGAATTTCCCCCAGAAGTGGTGAATTGATAGCAATTTTCTCATTTAACACATATATAACTAAAACCTTATTTTTTAGACTCTTGTGCTTTGAAACAGTGTACAGTGTTTTGTAAATTACTTTAAGCCTAAGAGTATTCTGCATTAACACTGGGTGTATATAACAGAGAGATTCAACTCTAATCAAATAGACATATGAGAAGTGGGATATCAGAATCCAAGCTTCATTGATAGTATTGCCTATAATGAAAACTTCTGACCCTTAGTTCCTTTTTTGATATCTATATTTAACATGGGGAATGGAACAGCATCAGAAGTGAGGTGATTAGGATAATCAATTAGCTCTGTCAGAGCACATAATACCTTTTAATTTCTTAGTCTTTCCTTGTTTCTTCTGTTCCTTTCCATTTCTCAGGTTACCTGTCCCCATTAATAATCAACATGGTTGTAAATCTACTAGGTACCATATTATAACTCTTTCCTATTTGATAAGCTTTATGGAAAATAATAGGCAATAATAATCTCTGATATTTTTAAGCTAAAGCTTTTGGGCATTAATGCAGTCTAGACCTGTGAAATGAGTGTAAGGAATGATAAATTGAATGTCAATTGATGCAAGAAAGTTGAAAAAAACTTCATTAAATTACTGATATAAATTTATGGAGATGTCAATGTTACATGAGGGGTTTTGTTCTGTTAAATATCATGAATGGTTTTAAGCACATTGTGTTGTATGCATCTTAAAAGTACCTGACACATTTTACTTGAAAAAGCAACGTTACCGGGAAATAACATTCATCATGTAGCAAAAAAGCTGTGTTTTATTTTATTCTGCACTAGAACTAGATTATTATTAAAGTAAAAATTCATAACACTTTTAAGACACAAAATAATTTTGATTCTCCTTAGGCATGGAAGGTTTAAAAGGCGCATTACCTTCAACTAGGAACAAATGAGAAAGTTGGCTTAGCCCCAACTTACTGAAAGCCAAAGTAAATCTTGAAATAAAGTCCCTCAGTGAGGGCTCTGGTAGAAGGGTAGTTGGAAGACCTTTTAAACTACAGATTTATAAATTAAGTTTTTGGCACAGTGATTGCCAAAGTAAGATGGACGGTCAGAAATTGGGATGTGGAGGTTATAAATTCAATGAAATCCAAGGCTACTTACTGGAACTCTCTGACAAACAAAACCTTTACTCCAGCACCTCTTTCCAAAGCTGTTAAAAGAAGGTGGCAAGTTTTAAGTGATTTCCCTATTTGTCTTCCCTTCCCCTTGTAGTTCCTCAGCATTGGCAGCCATTTGATATGCATCTTTCCATTAAATAGTACCTGAATCTCTCCAGCATCCTTTTAAAACTAAACAAATTCAGGAGCAGTTTATCCATAAATTGCTAAATGTTACTTTCTCCACAACTTCCTTTGGCAACAAACCGCAAGAATTGTCAGGTATTTTTTGCTCTTCATCCAGGGATTGTCACAAATCCATGCATCTGAGTATTAAGTTCAAATTTGCATTTCAGATTTAGTGAAAATTGTCCCAGTGTTGTATTATCTCAGTAGCTCTTTCTGTAGAATCCAGGCTGGGATTTATGGGAGTCTGAACACAGTCTTCAGAGAATTGTTTGGAATTGAAGAATCTCTCTGGATTCATTTTTCTTAAACATAGGAAGTTGTCAGTTATGTAAAGACTCTATATTTCTTGCTTGTCCTTCACCTTTCTTTGAATAGATATTGTAGCAAAATGAGAAATACTCAAAAATTATCTCCAGTTTCAGTACTTTATGTACTGTATGAAGGTGTTCATTGACTGGTATTAAATTTGTATCTTAGTGATGTCAAGATACATATGAAGAAGTATTTCTATAAGAAGAAAATTAGTTCCATGATAATTTTTCTTCATATCGATGATTATTTAGTGTTGATGCTCTTAGAATGACATATGTTTATTTAATTTTTAGTTACTTCTACCATTTTTTTATACTCGCAACTTTTGTCAGTGAAATTCACTTGGCTTGTGAAATCTGTGCAAAATAAGAAAGCAGGAGAAAGGTTTGCATAATTCCAAAGTTAAACTTCACTTCTATATTATAGTGAGAAATGTGTCTGTAGCCATATGTATTGGTTAGATGTCATTTGAAATTCTGCTACTAAACTTCCAAGTTTATTATGAACTCCACAAAAATAATTTTTCCCAAATGACAGAGCAGAAACCACAAAGCCCTACACCTGTGCTGCTCTTTTTTAAAAAATGATTTCTCATACTAATGATTCATAAGGTATCTAGTACTTTTATTTGTTGTTTATCAAATCCTGTTGTGATACCTTTCTGATGCGTGTTAAATTTAGTGGAAACAGTAATAGTTCTGGGAGAAGAGCAAGGTGTATTGAAGAAAGTGGTGGTATTTAAACTTAAGTAAATATGGTTTTGTGCTTTTCACTGCACAGTGGATTCCTTTCTTACAGATACTGATTTAACTTTAGAAATTCTCATCCTCTCAAATATTTTCCTTTTACTTGTGAAAGAATGTCATGATGATATTTAAGGCTGTTGAACAATAGGAATAAAGGTTTTATTTTACTAAATATACCAAACTGGCCAACACTGATGTACTCACTTCATTGCTATCTAGTTCAGTTGTAAAAATAACCCAGCAAAGTTTCCTTCTATGAAAGGACTATTCTAGGGAACATTTGCTTTACAAAGAATAAAATATATAATATGTATATTACACATTTGACAGAACAGAAGACACTTGCTATTCTTGTCCTGTATTTACAATGAAATTATGCTCTTTCTCTATTACTAGAATTCAGAGATTATTTTCTTAGAATGATATAAAAACACCTTCCTTAAGGAATTCCATGTTGCATTTTAAAAATATTTTGTTTTTATAGTGTACTTCATACTAAAATAAATAATACAATCTCTAAGGCATGATGGAAGATATATGGGATGAGCTGTTACTGCAATGAAAACCAGTGCAGTTTGAGGGGATTATACAGTAAAACAGGGCTAATTCAAAACACAGCTATAATATTGCTGAATGTTTTCACTTTCAGGCATTTTACAGAATGCTGATGTAGACAATAAAAGGGCACATTCATCAAAATGCATAATTTAATTTTTAAAAAACCCCTTGCACCAGTTTAAGCACACAGTACTCAGATTTCACACTAAGGTGAAGAAACCCCTTGGGACATTTGAAATTTATGAGGAGTTTTGAGATTTCATTCATTATGTTGACAATATGCACAACTTCTTTTGAAAATGGATTGGACCAAAAAAGGTGAACAGACGTGGTTGAAATAGCTCTTCCCATGGTGCGTGCTGAATTATGTGAGTTACTTCTGCTTATATGTTACCCTGGAGGATTGTTTAATGTGCTTGGTTATATAGAGCTGCAAATTTTTAGCTGTGGGCTGGTATCCATATTGAGCCATAAATTTATAGTTGATATATTGCTTTCTAGGCAGACAACTCATACTCAGATAGAATTAAGGGCAATAATTGATTTCCTGCTAAATAAGACGCATTTCAGTTTGAAGTATAATAGATGGTAACTAGAGTCTCTGTATGAAGGAAATATATGTTCTAAATATTGCATGTAGAAGAAAATAATTTTTAAAATTATAGATTTGCATATAGATATGGAAAGATATCTTCTGAATTGAAGTATCATTTTACCATTTGAATTTTTATTGGCAGAAACATTCTTGCCAACATATCTTTGTCTGCTGTGGCTTCTCCTCTATTCTGACAATATACCATAATATCAGAATGTAATTTTAACTTGTTTGTAGCTTGTATTAAGTACTGAGGTGAATATTGCATGAGTTAGGGGTCTCATATGCTCATAAGTACTATAACAAAAAGTGCTTTATAGAAAAAAAAATTTAGGTGGCGATCCCTTATCAGCTGTGTATCAGCAAGGGTCTTCGTGAAATTTGGAAGGAGACTGATTTGCTAAGATGCAGAGCAAAATCTTTTATGAACTGAAGCTGTGTTTCTGATCATCAATTTAGCTGCCAATTAGGTCTACTTAATTTCACTTCCATGGTGTGAAAAGCAGCTGCTGTTTTCATGATACTGATATAACAAGGAGGAAAGAAACTACCTCTGTTGGCAGAATAAAGAAAACTGCTGTGTTATTTCAGCTTAATTTATATTTGGAATTACATCCTGCTTCAGAATTTAAAAAATGTCAGTTTCCCCTTCCCCCTCTCTCTCCATGAAATATTTTTCTCCCTTTTTTTCCTCTCTTCTTTCTCTACATTGTATTTGCAGTGAAGAATGTGCTGTGTGAAGTTTAATGAACTTGGATCATTCCTCATCAGAGAGAGAGATTTATCCTGAGGGATTTTAGCCCACATTTTCCCTTTAGAACTGTTTACTGTAAACTTTTTCAGTTGAAATGAAATAATATGTATATTTCCTGAGGATAAAGGAAACATCTTTTTGTAAATATTATTTCCCAATTGGAATCTGATTTTGTTCAAAACTGTGTTACTGTCTAGAAGTAGCACCCCATCCATCTGGTTTTTATTTTCCATGTGAATTTTTTAGTTAAATAGTTATTGTATACATATGTAGATGAAATTGTATATTAATTCTGAAGCAAAAGAAGCAGTTGCCATCTTACAGTGTTTTGGCTACTTAGTTAAATGGCCACTATTTTTCTGGAAAGTGCTAGAAAACACGTTCAGTAATTTAGATTTTCTGTTCTTGAGGAAGAATCTCCTTATTATAGTTTTTAAAATTATGCCAGTGCTCCTCTTTTTCCTAGCCTGTGTTTTTTTTCTATGGGCAGATAAATAGTTTTTTTTCTGGCACTTGAAGTTCAGAAGCAAGAACCTTCCCTTTGTTTCTACTGCTTTCTTTTCTAAAGCCTTGGTCCTTGTATCCTGCCTGCTCCTTGTGCCAGCCTGAGGGCCTGACCTGCAAGGAGAGGGAAGGACTGTGTCTGGTGCAGCTGTTGTGGCACATTGCTCAGGTTGGTTCTTGCAGACATGACCTCTAAGCAGGCTTGCAGTGCTGCATCTGCTGATTTTTGCATGCACTGTCCATTCGTCTGCTTGCTAGATGTGACTTTTTTCTTTTTACTCTGAGTTGGCAGCTCTCGGCTGCATCACCTGCAGTTGTTTTGCAAATACCATGCATGGCCCTACATGCTATATGCTCGTCTTATACTACTTCTAGAAGTATTTCATTTGTGAGGGTTTTCATAAGCTTTTACTTTGTATTTAAGTTTTTAAATTTTCTTCTGTTGCCAAATTGAGAGTTATTTGTGGGGAGTTTTTTCCTCCGTTTTCTTTTGGGCATTTTAATTTGCTCTGAGAGATTTCTGCAGACTACCATATCACATATCACTCCTTTCCAAGTGCAAAGTCATATCTTTTGTTAGTTACTTGCATCTTGCCCTCCACCTGCAGCTTTGGATATCTGAACTGAATTAGTATCTGGTCTGCTATAATGAAATCTGCCAACTGCCTTAATTATAAGTCTGTGTTGTTAGTGTAAAATGAATAAAAGATTCTTCAAGGATTTCTTTCACTTTTTTGAGTTTAATTTGCAATCTTTCAAAAGTGTCTCTTTTGGAGTTTTCAGCATTATTGCAATTTTGGTTGAGAGCTAGCCCTTTCAATCTTACTCTGGAAGCTGGTTGTCATCAGTAGGTGCAGATTCAGCAAAAATAAAAAAGTAGTTATCAGTGAAATTTATTTTTTACCTCATGTGGATTCCTATACAGACTTTTCCCATACAGATGTCGGATACTTACCTGACTTTCTTCCTACCATCTGTCAGTGTAACACTAGTTTTGGGTTGTTAGTGGCCTTTAGTTCCCGCATTATTGTTTTTCCCCTCTCTTTTATTCCTAGGGGCCTGGCTTCTTATTTCTCTGATAATCATAAAGTGGTTTAATTCCTAACTGTGAAGTTACGGACTTACAACTTTGGAGTCCAAACACTTACTTAAAGCAGACAAATATTAGATCATTGTGCAGGCACTTAACCAGGCATTTTGAGTGTCTTCAGTAATGAAGTCTTGTGTTAGTTCCAGTTTTGTATTATGTAGCACTGTGAGGAAAACAAAAAAGTATTAAAAGAACAAGTGTTATTGATGTTTAAGCCTGCTATTTGAGAGTCTGTGATGTAGGAAGATCCTAATTTTCCTGCCTAGTTTCTCTGGAAGGTTCATTACATATTTCTGAAGATTCTTACATTGATGTCACTCTAGAGAACATGACAGTGATTCTGCTGGAACTGTAAGCGTGGCTGAAAGAACACAACTCTGTGAGTGAAACACACTGGACAGTCAGAACCTAACCATTATGTAAAAAAAATTAAAATAATAATAATAAAAAAGCTAATCTTTGTAGGAAATCAATCCCCTTGTATTATTTTTGTCTTATATGATCTTAGATTTCTCTTTAAGTTCTTTAAATAGTGATAGTTGCCATTTTGCAGTATTTGATTAATGTATTAAAATCAACTATATTCATGTTACTGGGAATGCTAGTTTTCAGAATATCGGTCAGATGTTATATATTTAAACCAAATGAATATTGGTGTTATGCAGAGATGTGGTGTGGGGTGGCAAAGGCTTCTTGATTTAAAAATATTATAGTCTGGAAAAACATGAAGAACAATATTTGAGTGAGAAAGCTTTGGAGTTACCTCCTTGAGGAAGAAAATGTTGTATTTCTTTGGTGATAAGTATCGAGATTTAATAAAGGCTTTGTAGAAATTGACAATAATTCCTATCTGCTATTTCAAATATTTTTAGTGCTGTTTGGAAATGAAGACTATCCTTGAAGGACAGATGGCAATTGCATGCAAAGAAATTTCTGAATTGTTTGCTGCCTCAGATTCTGTTAAAAAATAGGAAAGTTGACAATATATATAGTATTACCCTTTCATGGAATAATAATCACTTCTTGCAGGTTTCTTCTTTAAGTACTTAATTTTAAAGAGATAGTTCAGATGCAAATTATTATGTTTTCATCGCAAAAGATGTTGGCTCTTGTCTGTGTCATTTAAATGTTTTAGAACAGCTTTATAAGCAGGATTTTGAAGTTAAAAGTTGTAACTGACTACTCTGCTTCTTTCTTCACATACCTGTAATGTTTTGTGTCATTGTAAATGTCGAGTATATTGAATATTCCAAAATTTTAGTGCATTATAATTGTGTGGGTATCTCATCCTTGCTTAGAACATGTTCTATTTTCATATACAGTGATACCTAACCCCAAATTTTGATAACTCCATCCCATTTTAATTCTCTATTATTGATAACTCGAACTCTTGTGCACAGTATAATACACATCATGAAACAATGGGAGTCACTTTTAAAAAACTGTTTCTAAAGACAGCTTGTACTTACTACAGCAAACTGTGGGAAACAATATGCACCTCTTTATATGTGGATCATTTACACAAACAACTCAGTGAAGTACTGCTCTAAGATTTACACTGACATGTAAAACCAGAAGGAGAGAGTGATGATATAATTAGATATTAAGCCTTTTTAGATGGGGCCTTCTGCCCCAAAGCCCTGCTTATGGTTTCAAATTTTCTTTATAGTGACTAAAAATGAGCTGTGCAAGCACATATAAGACTTATCATGCTTTAATTTCTAAATATTTTAATTTCTAAGTAGGAATTTCTAAATATTAACCATACTGCATGCAGATCCCTTTCATAGATTCAGTTTTTCCTTGTTCTTATATTACAAACATTTACCAGAGGACACTTACCAAGTTAGAAGAAGCAGTTCAAGAATATTTTTGTTTGTCTTTATAAAGCTTTGACTCTCTAAATGAATTCAGAACTTCCCACATTGCCTACTGACAGATATTATGCATAAGAAACTGGTATTATTGTAGGTCACTGAATTAATTTTTAAAATGTCAATTGACATGATTCCCTTAGGGAGTTGTAAGTTGCAGCTATATATTATGTTCCCACACAAATGTGGAAACTCAGTGTTTTAGAAGGGAAAGCATTTGTAGTACAGAAACAGTTTAACATGAATCAGGTAGTGCTTTTCTAGCATTTAAATTCTAATAAATGGAAATAGGCAGACTTTCTAGAGATGTTTTCTCAGCATGTTTAACTCTCAGGAGCATATTGGGATTGGTGTCCTTTCTTCTGGCATCAGACTTCACAACTTCACTGTATTTTGCATAACCAAAATGGGAGTCACAAGTACAAATAATGGATACAGCTTAGTTCAGCCCATAGTGACACTAAATGCTGGAAGTGAAATAGCCAAAGGAAGATAAGCTATCCAGAGCTGTTTGTGTGAGTGATTTTTGACTGAAAAGATCTATGAGATGGTACTGGTATTTGTTATATCTTGCTGATCTATGGCATGCATTCTGTTTTTGTCCAATAGTCAAAAATAGAATGCTGCAGATGAGAGATGGTAATGAACCAATAAAGCAGGCTTTTCACTTAAATATAACACAGCCCAGTAGCAGTGCTGCACTAGATGGCTTGACAGCAAGTGTTCTGTTTTCGTCATGCACTGAAGTTTATTAAAATGGTGATTTTTATTTTGTAGAATTCTGAAGTGTGATATTTGATTTATGAGACTGAAGGCAAGGTTGCTGCCTTTGGCCCATCCTCCATTACAGAAACCCCCTAACATTATCTTGACAACATGCAAATTAAAATTTGTTCGGGACTAATACAAAGTTATCAGTATTAAAAAATCACTTACTGTGAAAATGCTGTTTTTGTGAGTTTCTGTAAGCAAAGTTGTATGCCAGCATAGCATTCTCATCTTTTCAATATCAAGAATTTTTATCCTGTAGGTTTTCTTCACTGCTTACAGTAGGAATTTTTTCCCCTAAACAGTAGAGTGAGTGTGAAATTCTGAAACTATTCTGTGATGCTGTTGAACCGTGACTCTTGAATTGGGAATCCTCACCTTAGTGTAGATTTAATCTACTCTGAACTAGTTAGGATAAAATCCTGGGTAATACGTGCTACAGAATACATTTTTGGCAACAGGAAGAAAGACTTGCTAATATATTCAGTAATTTTCCAATTCATATCTCTAATTTGTGTGATTGTGTCCTTGAATAAGGAGAATTCTTTCTGGCATTGTTCACTGAGAGTAGACAGATATATTAATAATGCATCTTTCATTTTAATTTTACATTTTGTGTCAGATACTGTTCAACTTTTTTTTTTTTTTAAGGATTTGACTTCGGTGCTTTCATCTGCATGTGAAGCTTTTAATGGCACCATAGCATGTCATAAATTACTTTATGCCGAACTTTTAATAGCTGGTTTGGATTTTTTTTGGGGGGGTTACATATCTAATGATGGGTTAAAAGCTAACACCAGTTGAAAGAAGAAGAGGTGGGAGGGAAAGGCTTTCTTTGTATTGTTCAGAGAGCACAGTGAATTTACATGAGAATTTTATCAGCATTCTTGGTGATATGCATACTCTGAATGAATTCTCCACAGATGCAAATTTTTTGGACTGGCTTCTTTATCTTTCTTCTTTTGAGATACTTGCTTAAAAGGATGGATCTGCCTTTTATGCCAGGAGAATGAAGCTTTGAGACTTACTTACCATGTATTTCAGGCAGCAGTGTCCAGCTGTTGGAAGCAAAGAGAAATTCTGTAGACAGGTTTGATTTGTACTAGGGGGGAGGCTCGAAGCAAAGAGTTTGGGAGGGTAGCCTCTTCTTTGGCCATCATTTTTGCTATAGTTTGTGGAAATTACTCACTTTCTGAGCTTAAGTCTGCCTATGTATAAGAAATGTAAAGAAGTTGGACATTTTGTTAAGATAAATATCCATGTCTTTGTATCTTCACTAAACTGGAAGACATAGATTGTAGGATCACATGCTTAGTCATAGGGTAATTGAAGTTCTGACCTCAGGAGGTTCAGTCTCTTACTCAGAGCAGAAGCCAACTATGATGTCAGACTAGATTCTGCTGGGCTTTGTCTGGTGGGTCTTGAACACTTTCAATCACAGAGCCTGTATAACCTCTTTGGTCAGCCTGTTCCCCTGCCTGATGGTCCTCATTGGAAGAAAGTTTCTCCCTATATACAATCTACACCTGTCTTGTTTCAACCTCTACCCATTGTCTCTTGTCCACTCACCATGTACCAGTGTGCAGAGCTTGGCTGTGTATTCTTTATGTCATGTCATGTCTATTGGCATGCTGCTAAGTTCACTTGAAGCTGTCTCTTCTCCAGGCTGAGCAAGTGTGTTCCCTGAACTTCTTTCAGGGCTCATGCACAAGCATTTGACCAGCTTGGTGGCTCTCTGCTGAACATGCTGCACTTTATTGATGTCTTTGATTTTCTTGGGGGCTCAAAACTAGAGACAGAGTTTCCAGATTGCCTGTCTATGAGTGTATCAATGGATTCCCATGATTTGATGTCATCTGAAAAGCTGAGAAAGCACTCTGTCACTACCAAGTCAGTGATAAGTAAGTTGAATAGGATGGCATAGACACCTGCAGTACTCCATTTGTTACTGGCCCCCAGGCAGAGTAGTACCCATGAACCACAATCCTTTGAGCCTGATCATCCAAACTTTTTCTTCTTTTACGTGTTTGATTTTCCACCCATGTCCTGAAATGTCCTGACATGGATACAAGAATATTGTGAGACACAGTGCTCCTTGTGAGAATCAAGAAAAATTGCATGATCATTATTGCCATTCATTTTCTTTTTCAGAGTTAGAAAAATTTCAGTTAATATTATTATAGAAAGACTTGCAGGTAGCTTACATTATTTTGTAGTGCAATTAAATTAGCTCTTCTGTGTAGATTACTAAGTTACAAGTTACAAGTCATTAACCTAAACTCCGTAAAGTCAAATAGAGAATAACTGTTGCTTTGACTCAGAGATTCTGATGATTTTTAATTCATAGATGGTAATGACTATATAGTGTAATAGTGTGGTTAGTGTAATTTGTTTTTCTAAATTGAGAACAGTGGTCTATTCTAGCCAGTAATCAGTATCTATAAAGTTCTTAGCTGGCTTTAATATGAGTAGAACACTGGACTCTTTACATAACTTCCAGGAAATTAACAGCATGGGGTTCTTTTTCTGGCACATGGGGAAGACAGAATCAAATGATTGTAATTAGTATGCATATTTGCATGATTATTAGAAGGTTTTTTTATATTTTTTGTTTTCTTATTTTCTTTTCCTCTTCAGATAGAACTACTGTAGGAGGCAGCATGATTTCGTGGCTTGATTAGTTTTGTTCTTTTTGGAGAAAATGCTGAGGACTACATCGGGAGAAGATGTAGAATTCATCTCATATAATGTTATGAAATCTGAAGCCTGACATTTTAAGCTATAAATTCGAGCAGCAAAACCTAGAAAAAAAATCATTCTGCTGGATGTAGTCTGGGATTTTATGCATTACCTACTGTGTCACAAAGAAAATCATGGTTTGCCGATATAAGTGAAAAATGACTCTTACTTCAAGGCAGTGGTGCATCAGATAGCTCTTGCACTGTTACCTGGCACTTGGATTTCTCAGGCTAGGGCATGGTAGTGACAAGTATTGGGAAATTATATTTTTATTATGTAAAAAGGGGTGGTGTTTTCTTCCTTTAGGTTCTAGCATCATGAGGATGATATAGAGCTCATTGGAGCATAAATTATGGAAGTTGCACCTTGGTACATTTTGCCTTCTGTTTGTTATAGGAGTGACAACAGAGGAGGAGAATGACCTTCTGCTCTTGGCAAGAGCATTCAAATGAAAGTACTAAATAATAAATTGTTTTACAGTGTAGTTAACATGTGTCATCATGAGCCTAGAAGAAAATCTGAGGATTTGGGTCTTGAAGTAACTTCTGATTATATATATTTTACAACAAGAAAACTGTCTCCCATGAGAGGGATGCCATGCTGGAGGAGGGGAAGAGTGTGAGGAGACCTCTTGTGCAGAGAAAGGAGCAGCAGAGACGTGATGCACTGACCACAGCCCCTATTCCCCCTCCCAGTGTCCTCCACTGCTGGGGAGGACTTCTCAGTTTGAGTTTGCTTCCTGTCCTCTGTACTTCCTGTGCTTGCTTACTTCTAGAGATTATCAGAATATTAGTTTATCATAGGTAAAAGGCAAATCTGATTTCTAGATTTGATTACTACCATTAAAACTATAATTGTTCTCGCTTGTGTTTGTAAACACTGACATATATATATTATTAAAATTTCAGTAGTGATTGAAGATGAATTTTTCCAGATCACCTAATTATTCAACTAACTGTGTATTTTCCATTTTCGCTTTGTTGTTGTAACAAATAAGAAATGCAGATTTTTGTCCTGCCTTTGTGAAACACCTGCTTTTATTTATGAAACAATTAAATTATACAAAACAAAGACCAAAAATTTAGCTGAAATTAAGCATATATGTCAATCAGGCATCTGATGGTAAATCTTAGTGCTAATATGAACAAATGTTATGACTTGGCTCAATAGAAGGATGTGCTTTCTCTAGGCTTTCCTTAAATAAACATTTCCCAAGTCAATATGCTTTATAGTTTGTCAAGTAACTTCAAAATTTTTCATTACATGAACAATAAACCTTTTTATAGTTTAAAGTAATTTTAATTAGCATTCTAAATGATGAGTCAATTTGTCTGACTTTTCAGAAGTTTTTAATGTTTTCCCTGGTTTGTCTAATTCTTTCTTGTTTATATATTATAGCCTAAAATTACTACTTGGGTTGTCTGTGGGTAGGGAACTTGTTCAAAGTCTGCATTTTTATCACTATGTGCCCTTAAATCCCTTGAATCCCTTGAGTTCTACTTGAAGCATGAAGTGTTGGGCTTACTGGGCTGTATTGGTTCCTACTTTCCATCTACATACTTCTGAGCAGATGGGTTTTGCAGTGTGGCTGTTTCAGGTTTTCTACACTTCTTTTCTTCTGGGTATTAGACACTTGGAGTGGACTCCTCGGCAGCAGATCCAAAATTTACTCCCATTCTTTAAAAAGAAACAGATGAATGGATAAAGAGGCATGTTTTACATAAGAGAAAGCAAATTGCTAAAACTTGCTTTCTCCTCTCTCCCTCTCTTTCTGAATTCAGCCACGATTAAGGATCCAAGTCTCATTCCTGAAATGGCACGTATAACCATGGCTTAGGTTTTTGAGGAGACTGCTATGTTAAGAGAGCTGAGATAATGTCTACAGAGTAGAATAATGCAAGCTAGCAAAGGCAAAATGAAAGATGTGAGCTACCATTGTTGAGATGGGAATAACACCAGCAATAACACCAGTTGGAGAATGCCATCATGAAGAGGTATACAACCTAAAGGCAAAAATGGACTCAGCCAGAGATGTCAAGTCAGCACCATTAAGGATCATTTCCAGGTACCAGTGAAGCCCTTTCCAACATGAATGATAGCACTTAAAGCAAAAAGACTCCATGTGTTTTGCCTGGATGGTGATAATACTAATGCTTAGTCACCTAAAAACTGTAGGTATATTTTGTGTGCATTAGCCAATAAATAGTTTAAAACACCATATTTATTATTAAATAAGTGTTGTATTTTAATGATCTTTTAAGATTTATTCTGCTTACAGTGACTTTTTGCATACAGTTAATGTGACCTGAAAAAGGAGGGCTGCATGCCTTGTTAAAGAGTTAAAACGCATTTTTCTTCAAAATCTGAAACTCTTTTTTTTTGACTAGTATTATATGTTACCTGAGCTGACTGGGCAGTTATATGTTACCTGAACTGACTGGGGAGTTTGTGTTCATACAAGCTTTCTATAAAACTATTCTGCTGGAGTTTTAAAAATTTAATCAATTAGAATTGTATCATTTGCCATACTTTTTCTCCCAGTGGTAATTTGCTATCCAATTTTTGTGTAATGTATATTGTTCTAGTTTAGTTCCTGTGTTGAAAACTGTTTTATTAGCTAGTTCTTAAGCAGTAGTGTGCATTAAAGTGAAATTGAGCCATAATATTACTGCACTATCACATTAATATGATCATATTCTTTCTACAGTAGATGGACATAAATCTGTCAGTAGCAAAACCTGCAAAATAAAAGTACAAATCCACACCATTGTATTGATGTGTTTTTTAAGATCCCAGGTCTATCAACCAGCTAGCCTGCATAGATTTAATTTACCTCTGCTGTATCAGTGAAGAAATCAATTCTGTAGTTTTGCATGTAAATGTGATAAAAATCAGATTTCGTATGTTATTGGGCTCATTTAGAAAGAATTGATTCATTATTTACATTGAAGCTGAAAACATATGTGAATGTAAAAGCCAGGTGAAGTAACAAAGGAGATAATTCTGAATTGCTCAAAGCCATCTGGACATGGTCCAGGACAACTGGCTGTAGGTTGCCCCACTTGAGCAGTGGTGTTGGATCAGATGACCTGCAGAGGTCCCTTCCAAATATTTTGTCATTCTGATTCTGTGAAAATACAAAGAATCCAAGTGGTCTCCTTTCACTATGGGAAGTGTTTTCAAGTAAAGGAGGATTGATTTATTTTTTTATCATCCTTGCACACGCTCTAGTGACAATATAGGAAACTCATCTTATGTAACATTGGTAGAATGGAGAGGTTCTGGAAGAACAAAAGAAAAAAAAAACGTAGGTTTTTTGTGTTTGTTTGTTTGTTTGTTTTTTAAAAAATCCTTATGAAGCAATACAGAAAACCTGAATTTAATTAGTCTAGGGAAAAAAAGAACTTGAAGAGGAAACACAGATTTCTCAATATAGGGAGTGAATTAGACAAAGTTCTGCCAGGAATAAATCAAGTATTATTGATTCCACCTCAGTGCAAAAAGACTCAGCTATATCATCTCCCTCTTCTCCAGACCTAATATTCTTGTATTTTAACTCATTTCCTTTGCTTTTCCATCTGAAAGAAGTGCATCATTTTTGAAGATCAAAACTGATTTTTGACAATAGAGCCTTAAATCTCACTGTGGTTAATGATAGTAGTTCCCCTATGTTTACCTGGAGATTAGGAACAGTGCAAAAGTGCATGTCGATTCCTGAATGATAGATTTCTGATACTATTCAATATATGGGGGAGGGTGAATCTTCATTGTCAGATTTCATGGTTAAAACTGTTTTCTGGTAGAAGCTATGTCATCTAAAATTCTGCTCTACTGACAGCAAATACTTTTTTTTCTACTTGGTCTGTGTCATTTTGAGGAGTAACTATACTATCAGAAATACTCCTGTTGGAAATGTGATGGCTTGATTATGTCTTATTTAAATGTATCTGTCTAAAAATTATATTTTTAATAGAATATAGTCACCTAGACTTTCTTTATAATTAACTGGGCAAGCAGGCACCCCAAAAGAACACTATATCCTGTTTTAAAGGACATCTGATATAGATGGAATGAATTGTCTTATTTTCATGCTTGTCTGTTCTGATGAGTTGGGTGATTGGACTAGACAAACCTATGTTTTAGACTGGTGAAGTTAAGCATGACGAATTTAATATGTAGGGTACCATACAAGCAGACAAACTTACAGTGAATAACTTCAAATTATTCTGAGGGATAATAATTGCATTGTGAATAAATTTTTGTAAACACACTAATAAATTGTGTTATTAGTTGGAAAATAGGTGTGAGCTGTGCATACAACTGTATGCAGATTCTACAAAGACAATCATATGGAAATTGGATTAGGCATTTCAGAAAAAGTCACAAAGATGTAAGAGTGACATACCAACTAGAAGGGACTTGTTGATTTCTATGCATAATAAGGCACACAAGGAAGGAACATTTGAATTGGCTCCTGATTTCTAGCAATATTTCTGTTTTCAGTCATCTTTGTATTTTGGGCAGTATCGTGCTTCAGTATTGATTTCTATTGCATGCTAGAATGGCTTAATATCTTCATACTGGCCTGTAAGAAGATATATTTCTGCCTTGTGTTGTTGCTAAGGAGTAAGATGGGAAGTTATGCAAGGGAAAGGAGAAGCAGATGAACAATAAAAATGGAAGGTGAGAAGGCATAATAAAAGGGTGGAAAAAGAGTAATGGAGATACCTGATAGTGGAACTTATATGATGGGACAAGGCGGTGAATAAAATCTTCCCATTACACAGATTATTTCTTGGTGATACATGGTGAGTAAGTCAAATGCAGAGTTTCTATTCAGGTTTTCATGGATTACTATAATGATCTCTAAGGTGTATGTAGAGAAGACTTGGTAATTAGTACATAAGTCTATGCATTGGCTTTATAGAGAGGAATATTAAACAGGTGAAAGGAAAGCATACATGACTCTCTAGACTGGTTATATACTTTTCAAAAACCTCACTTGAATGAGGAATGCTAAAATGCGCTAATAAAACTTTATGTCCTGGAAATTCTTAGCTTATCCTTTACTTAGCGGGTATATGACACCTCAGATTATTTCATAGAATATTAAATAATTTTTGTCTGCAGAGTATCACACATTTAGAAAATTTTTCAGTAACATATCTAGCCAGGGCTTGGAACTTGAGCAGATAAGACCTGCCATTCCTTTTCACTTTGTGTAGTATACTGTATTCTTATGTGTTTCTCTACTATCTTACGTTGATCCCACTGTGTGTGTTTAGGGTCAGAGCATCCTACATACTTTTACCGTTTCCCGCTTCATCTTTTCAGACAGTTTCAGGAAAACCTTCAAAAAGAGCAAAACACTCTTCAGGTAACAATCCGTTTTCAGCCTTTGACTCTAAATAGAGTCATAAAAGTTGTCGTAGATTTTATGTCTACAGCTATTTTTGTATTTTGTGTTCATGATCTGTAATCTTATTACTTGAGTTTGAATTTATAAAGCCTTCTCACTGACCCCTCAGTTCCATGTGCTTTGTTGTTTAAGGTCTTCTCTATGTTGTCTAAGATCTGATTTCTCTAATTCAGTCATTCATATAGCGTCATGGAAGGTTTAGGTTAGATATCAGGAAAAGGTTCTTCACCCAGAGGGTGGCTGAGCACTGGAACAGACTCCCCCGGGAAGTGATCACAGCACCAAGCCTGTCTGAGTTCAAGAAGCATTTAAGCAATGCTTTCAGGCACATAGTATGGGCCAAGAGTTGGACTTCAATGATCCTTGTGGGTCTCTTCCATCTCAGGATTCTTCTATGACTCTCAGATTGCAGCTTCCAAACATTTTTATCTTTTCAAAGGTTGTCTTTTGCGAGTTTCCTCCTCCATTTTAGCAAGAGTGTATAAATATATTTATTATATATTATATAATTATTATATATTAATATATATTACATATGAAAATACAAATATTTTTATTGTTTTCTATTTTAATGTTAAGAGAAACTTCTTACAACCTTTCTGGGAGTTGACCCAGCACTTTAAATATTGTCAACATTAAACTTTCGTATTTGTGCAAGTAAGATTATTGGGTGAAAAGCCTGAAATAGTCTGAAATAAGACAGAGTTAGCAAAAACAATGCTAAGAGTTAACAAAACAGTTTGTTTATTTTCTTTAAAGAACTGGAAATGTATTAATAGAGCAAGATATCTTGGAAGATATTTTTAGAACATGATTTCTTCATGAGAGGCAAGCATGGGCTTTAGAGACATGATGCAGATGCAGGAGCTTTCTGAGCTGGATATGTACCAAAGATATCACAAGATACATTACAATCATTTTATACTTTCATTTGCAACATCATTTTAAAGTGACACAAGTTTAAGGTGATAGTTGAATTAATGATACAGGAATGTAGGGGAGAAATGCAGGTGTTTTTCAGAAGGCTAATTATAAATAAGCCTGTTTAGGCAAAGTAGAGTACAACAAATAAATAGGAGTGGCTTACCTTCATATAAAGCCTTCCTCAAAGGTGGTGGTGTTTTGTTTTTGTTTGTTTGTGGTTTTGGGTTTTGTTTCTTTTTGTTTGCTTTTTTGTTTTGTAGTTTTATTGGTTTAATTTGGTGTTGTTTGTGTGGTTTTTTAATATTGTCATCTGCTTCATTATGAGACAAATATCAGCTTCTATAATTGCATGTGTTTATTTCTTTATATTCTGGACACTTGTTTTTGTAATATTGTTAATTATATCTGCTGCTAAAATAAAATTATTATGGATGTTGCTTCAGGAAGTGGTCTCTAGGCCTCTTTAATTTCCATGCTCAGTTGATTTAATAATTCAGATGAACTCACTGAAGTGGCTGGTATACTGTGACAGTGACAACGAGAGTCAAGAGAACTAATTAAAGTTAGGCAAATGAGACTGTTCTGGTGGTAGTCCATTTTGTACATCTTATAAAATTCCTAGAGCAACTTCAAAGAAACCATCAACTATCTTACTTTCAAGGATTTTATCTCAGTTACCACCGGTGCTGGAATATAGTAGAAAATATAGCTGCAAGTTTTTGTTACTACAAATTTTCTGCCTTTTAAAAAGGTCTGTTCTCTGCTGGAAATCATTTATAGTTTAGGTAAACTGGTTTTACTACTGGTTACCTTCACATAGTTAAAGGTTAGAATTCTGTTGAGAGATTGATGATTAAATTTAGTGCCTACTTGTAGGTGTCTAGGATATTAGTTGTTTAAAGTCCTGTGATGTACAGCAGAGATCTAGTCAAGACCATCAGTAGAGGTTAGAAAGCAAATGGATGCTTATATGTAAATAGCTGAAATCAGCTTTCTGAACTCAGAACAGAAGTCTCTTAGTCTTTCTGTCAACCATCATTATGCCAACCATGACTATTTTTTTGTTGAAAAGTCACGCAGTATGTAATTAAATTTGTGTTTGAGAGAGAATGCTGAACCTTCTACTCTTATTACCGTATTTTAAAAGTAGATGACTTAAATGTATTTTGACAGCTTTTTTTTTTTTTCAGAAGGGATTGTTTTGAGTTTTCTATAACACTTCCTGTATACACAGTTGTAATCCAAAATTTTAGATTTCAAGTAGTTGAAGAGAGAACATCTGTGGTTACTTAGTCAGACAATTTTCATTTATACCTATAGAGCTCAAGATCAACAAAAGAAATATTACATCAGAATGTAAAGTGTAAAGGAATGAGAATTATATCAAATACAAGGACTGTTGAATGATGGTGAAAATAA